TTTTTGAAACCCAAATAGCTACCCACAAACACTAATGGCACTGAAATCCCAAACCACAAACAAACTAGCGCAAACATGGTTCCAAATGGAACAGCTCCAGAAGATTTCTCCCCCCAGATCAGAGCATTAAGTACAAAGAATACTGCAAAAAGAATTCCAGGGAACATGAAAGCAGTTTTCAAGGTAATCCTCTTCCACTCTGTACCCCTAAACATTTTGTATAGACGTGATGAGGAGTAGCCTGCAAATATGCCCATGAAGACCCATAATAGAACCATGGCTGTCATAAGCCCACCTCGGTTGGAAGGCGAAAGGAAACCCAACAATGCGAAGATCATTGTCACAAGGGTCATTCCAAATATTTGAACACCGGTTCCAACATAAACACATAGTAATCCAGGATTCATAGGAGGCCTGAACACATCTCCATGAACAAGCTTCCATCCTGTTTCCTCCTGTGCCTCATCTTGGGTTTCCAACTGATTATAGTTTGCAATATCTTTGTAGAGGGTTCTCAGCATAATCATGGCAACCATACCAGAAAGGAAGAGGACAATCATTAGGGAATTAATAATGGAAAACCAGTGAATTTGATCATCATTCATAAGAAGGTAAGTATCCCAACGAGAAGCCCATTTAATATCACTTTCCTGGGGTGAAAAAAATGGCAGCGCAGGTGAGACATGAAGATACAATAAACAATCTTTCAAAGGAAGAAGCACAATGGTTCATATGAAAATACCTTGAAAGACACATCATAAGTGAAAACAACCTCCTTATTTGTGTCTACTTCTTGGGGAACTGTAGTACCCTGCAAAATATTTTTGGTATTCTGGTTGCATGTTGTCACCTGGGGGTTCTTCTCATTCCACTCCTTGTACTCGTGATTAATGCTGTCCACAGAACCAAGCTCAGTCAGAAGAGATCAGAAGAACATTTAACATAGTTTAAGGGGTATTATTGTGTTAGTTTAGTATTTCTTTTTCTTGATTTCACATTTAAAAGAACTAAAGAGGTTCTGAGATAAGTCTCCTGCCTAATCTCTACAGAGCTCTCCCAATAAACCCCTTATCTATGCTTTCTCACTCTAAAACTCTCTTATTGATTCTATATATAGACCTAATAAGAGAAAAGGATTACAAGAATACCAATATAGACAAGAAGGTTCTAGACCTTCAATATGTACACATATTTGAATTGTTTGTACTTTACCAGGTGATAGTTTCATCTTGTTTGTTGGAATAAATGCATTCTCAGCTTATCAAGGGGAAAAAGAAAGGCATTTGAAATTGAGACAAGAAAAATGCCCAAAATAGACTGTGTTCTTCAATATTAGCAGAGAACATGTGAACCATTTCTACCTGGTTGGTGTAACTTCAAATCCCACTATTCGAGCGGTGTCAGTTTCAGTATCCTTGTGATACATGACTCTAAAGCTTAAGTGGTTATTGATGAAATATTTCTCCTCTTTACTCTGTAGAAGCAAGCAAATATAAAACTAGTCAAAAAAATTTCTGAATGATCAGTAATCAAACAACAGCAATTTGGATTCTACACTGACCCCTGCATAGTTCCCCTTGAACCCAACACGAAAACCATGTTCGTGTATGGTTGACTGAGTTCCATCCCGCTTTTGTCTAATTACAGCAACTGGAAGGTTATCCAAAATCCTGCATGGATTTCCATTATTCTTAATTGAATCAAAATGAAACCAAGTTATCATTCTTAAACAACAAACACCCTCCTCTGGCAAAAGAACATCACCAAGAAAGTGCATGCATGTCAGCACTGAAAAAGACTACAAATACACTGTTGCAGCTAAAACTTACATGTTAACCCTATATTCATCATCAATTTTTTCTTTGAAGTTCTTTGCAGCTTCAGCATCAAGTTTTACTAGACAAGCCACCTTGCAAGGCAACTCTTGCCTCATATTGAACTGTCAATATAATCCACAAAACATAGACCCCATCAGCAAAGTACAAGCCTGATACTTATCAAATACTGGTTTCTGTTTCAACAACTGCAGATTAAAGGGACAAAACAATAGATGCTTACAGTATAAACTGAGTTCTCTATCCGATCACCTCGAAGAACCTCCCCCAAATTTTCTGCATTATTCATAATTTTGGTAGGCTTGCAATACTTCAGGAAATAATAGTCATACGGAAGCTGAGTCTTTGTGGAAGAAAGCTTGTTCACTTTAACAGCTAGTGGATTACCCTGTCAAGAATGCAGACAGAAAATTCAAAAGGCGTACCATGTAAGAGATAAAATTAAGCTCTCCAACCCCACCCCCAAAACACACACACACATGACTAGAAAGCATTGACTACAAATTAGTTCATCCAATCTAGCCAACTAGAAATTTACAAGCAAGCCTCTAAGCCTCTTTTCCTCTGTCAACTTGCAGCCCATCGTTCCACATAAAAACAATTATGCTCTAAAATTACTACTGGTGGAAGTAATACGCTGAAATACAAACAAATCCGTAATCAGAACTGAGTATGTTCACCAAAGGTGACCAGCTAACAATGCACAGCTACTGCCTAAAGTAGAGATCGACCAAACGACTAATCACCATTCACATCAATCCACAAATAAAAACGCACTTCCACAAGCTTTCAAACCAGAGATCCAACCCAGAAACATTTTCCAGATACCTAGAAGGAGCACGGATATGGACAGACAGATCCATATAATCCTAGTAGAGAATTCACTATAACCAATCGAAGTTTAGGAAAACTAGTACAGAGCACCATTTAAGCATCGATTCAAGAGCAAAATACATACAACAAATTAAATAGAAAAAAAATTATAATGCAGAACATCAGAAGCGTACAGTTTGAAAATCTCGAGGAGCAACGCCGGGGAGGTAGAAGGATTGCGCAGACGATACGAGGAAGAACAGAAGCGAGACGATGGATATCGTGTTCACCCGACCCGACATCCTTCTGCCCGTTTCGAACCGATCCATTTCAGCACAATCAGAGCTAACAAGCGGAGAAGCACGGAAACAGTAGGAAGACCAGTGGAAACTGGAAAGGGGGTTTTATGGCGAGCTTTTTAGTGACCGGCGAAGACTTTTGGATATGCTAGCTAAAAGATTTTGCAGCCAACGTCCTTCTAGTTTTCTTTTATTGCATAAGAATCCATGTAATTTTGAAATTATTGAATCCTCCCTGTTGAAACTTCCCAATTTTTCACCAAAACACCATCAGTGATGAAAATAATAGTTGTAAATTGTAATTTGCACCAAAACAAACATAAATAGTTCTAAATCATTATTTTTTAAAAAAAAATAAAATAAAAACCAAAATATTGTGAGGTGCATGTTAGTAGTATTTTTGGAAATAATAGAGATCATCATATTCATTTAATCTTACACAAAAAATCTATTTTAGATGGAAACAAATTATTTTTATTAATAACGCATCATAATCTTATTATAATCACTAAAAACACTATAAAATTATAATGTATATATGCGGATAAAGTGTTACAAATAACCTAATCCGTAATCTTATTGTACGAGAATTATGTTTTATTCACTCAGTCACCACGTTTGAACTGTTTTAATGGCTTTATTTACAAAATGGTAAACTAAAGTATGCCAAATGAAAGAAGACTAATTTTTAAAGGCCACATATATGATAACTTCTTATTTGTTTGGTTTCACATGATCTATGTATTGCTCTCGTTATACGTCTTTGATGACAACCACACTCTTACTAATACATACTCCGTAAGTATTAATTAAGGAGTTGAATTGTTGAAATTGCACGGCTCTCCTACAAAGTTAGGTTGTGCTTTCCCTTTATAGTTACTTTATTGTTTTTTCGGAAATTCGTCTGCTTGTATTGCATGTTCATTTCCACTTACTTGCGAAGGTTATTTTCCATTTGGTTTTGAACAATGCATATATTCCCCTCGTAGCACGACTCTAATGACAAATATGATTTTACTAATACGGAGTACATAACTAAGGAGTTGAAGTATATGAATTCCGTATCCAATCCCCTTATATGAAGTTCTACTAGGTTTTTCATAGTTACGTTCTCACCATTTTCAAAATGTGTTTTATTTCTCTTGCATGTTCTATCTCACGTTGCTACAAACCCATGCCGCTTTCATGTTTTGTATGAAGTTATGCTTGGCTTTTCGCCATTGCTTTCTCACTTTCTTTATAACGTGTTTTAATTCTCTTGCATGTTCCAGCTCCCTTTACTACACCCACAAGTCACTTTTCCGTCTACCTACCACACACTACTCTTCATGTTGTCCCACTTAGGTTGATCATTTCCCGCTTTTTTCTTGTGATTCATGCTCATTGCTACAGAGTTAGACAATTGATCACAAACAATTACCCTAGCTAATCAATCACGTCTAATTGCTCAAAAATAATATAATTGTGCAAAAAATACCCCTAGATCCTATCATTTTTTTAATTATTATTATTTTTTAAATCTTCAATGCTCTCAAGCCCATTTCATTATCCTCGATCCCAATTTAAATCGATTAGCTTGTATATATTTATCCATAAATTTGTTTTGGAGCCACATATCCCAACACAATGGAAAAGCTATACTTAAGATATGGCCTAAATAAAATATCATTTTCAATATATATTTATGACGTTTTTGTAACCATCAATTAAAATAATGAAAATTTAATTTGAATATTAAAATTTAAATCACCATTCAAAATATGCTAGAACCACACTTAACAAAGAACATTAATTCCACCCCAAAAAAAAATCAAAAGAATTCAATTGCAAAAAATAATAATAATAATCAAATTAGTCAAAATGTAATATCAAACTAAATATATTGAAATAATTTATTAGTTTTTTTTTTAATAGAAAAAAGAAAAAGAAAAACATTGATAGCAAAGCGGCACTTTTTAAGACAGTCGCTCGCGGGAGCGAGATTATCGTATTTAAAATCATAGACATGCATTCTTCTTCTTCAAACTCGCTTCCCGGTTCGAACGCACAAACACAAATACAAATGCACTTATAGTTCTCTTTCACGTTTCATACATCTTTCCATCATTGACAGAGCTTCGTCGCAAACAGATGGGTGAGCCTTCAATTCCCCGTTGCTCCCGTTCATTTCGATTCATATATTGGTTTCATGATAGCTTTTGTATCAAATTTAATCAATGATCCGCTTTTAATTACGCATTTCCATTTGATATGGATTTTGTTTGTTCTATAATGTTTTTTCTCTTATCGCCTAATGGCTAATGCTATTAATTGCCTCTCTTTATCATCGGTTTGATCTTATGTTTATTGTGATTTCAATTTCATACGGTTTTTGAATGTTTCTGATCTGTTCCAACGTGATCTATATTATTAAACTTTGAATTCTCTGTCATTCTTATATAGCCAACCTAGATTGGCTATTTCTGCCTAGTGTTAATTGGTTGGAGCTTAAGCATGCTAATTTACTGATGAAAATGAAAGTATTTAAGGGAGTGTTAGATTTCTTGAAGTTTGTTTATTTATTTATTTTCCCCCTTAAACATTTGTTCCTCTATGTATATTCAGAATATTTACATTACTTATCAATTCTTTTTTCGCGGGGTAGGAGGAAAGGAAAAGATTGGCTATATGCCCTTAGCTAAGACTTCATCTTCATTTTACTCTCCTTTAAAAATTACTTTATAACTTTTCTTTTTTGTTGTCGAGGGATACATGTGATGGAGAATGTAAGTAGTTTTTCTATATATGGATTTTTTTAGGTTCTCATATATTGTAGACAAGCTTATAAATGGTTATGCATAATTAATGAAGTATTAATGCTACAAATTATATCGAGAGCATTTTCTGCACGTTCATTGTTAATGATGAATTTCTCTTCTTTTATGTTTTCTCTATATAGTTTCTTGCTAAGTTAATTACTTGTCTCAGATAAAAAAGATGGGAGTTGTGCGACTCAACTCATTGACGGGGATGGTAACTTCAATGACGTCGGAATTGACAATTTCATGAAGGAAGTCAAGCTTGCAGAATGTGGACTGTCATATGCCGTAGTATCAATAATGGGTCCACAGAGTAGTGGTATGTATTTTTTAGTGGAAGAACCTTTATGGATCCTCTTCATACTTTCATTTGTTATTTGGTAGGCTTGAAAATTCTCTTCATATTGATTAGAAGCATGAAGCACCATTGAACTGATTAAGAATAGACACATAGACACAGCAGCATTGTCACCCTGCCCCCACCCTCCAAGCTGAAGGGATTAAAAAGAGAGAATATAACTCCTTTTTGTTTTGTCTTTTTTTTTTTTTGGTTTGTTTTTTTTGTTTGTTTGTTTGTGTTTTGTTTTGTTTTGATCTTTAAAAATGTAAATTTTGCATGTTCTACTGCCTATGTTTTGATTATCCACTTTATACAAAATCTTGACCTTATTTGTGTTGTGATTCTGCAGGAAAGAGTACATTGTTAAATCATCTATTTAAAACAAAATTTCTAGAGATGGATGCTTTTAAGGGAAGGCATGTCTTCATCAAGCTCCTGTGTTTATTCCTCTTTCTTTTTGCACTTAGTTTAACTGATTGGATTTTGTTATTCTTAGGTCACAAACAACTAAAGGTATTTGGATGGCTCATTGTGCTGGGATTGAGCCTTGCACACTTGTAATGGATTTAGAGGGCACTGATGGAAGAGAGCGCGGAGAGGTATGGTTGAAATAGATTCTTTGTCATGTTTCATGGTATGTTTCAATGTGGTTCTCACAATTGTTGCTTCTGAATATAAGAACTGTGCTGCATTTATCATTATATAAATATTGACACAAATTCTCTATATTTCAAGCTATCTTCACAGGAGTTCCTTGTTCTCATATATTGTTTTATCAAATCAACTTTGTTATGTGGCATTGCTTATTGCTCCTAAGATAATTTCCCAAAGTCTTATTTAGTTTGACTTAGCTTTAAGATCCTTTCTTTGTTTAGTGAAGTTCTGTCCTGACTTCAATCAGATCTAAAGAGCCCTTATAGGTAGGCACTATTAATTTATTAATAATTTATTGACACTAGGCTTACTGGCTATATGCTTGTGCTCATTTGTTCCACTTGCCTGACTTCCATGCAGCCATTGGTGCTCTGAATGGTAATAGAAAATTTGCTTCTGATTTGGTATATATTTTGTTGTTAGGATGATACTGCATTTGAGAAGCAAAGTTCCTTGTTTGCCCTTGCTGTTTCTGATATAGTTCTAATAAACATGTAAGTTTGTCTTTAACCTATTATGGGCAAACAAACAACATACATTATTAGATTACCGTGGATTCTCTCAAAAGTTCTTTATGTGAGTAATAAGGGTGCATCTTCAGGTGGTGCCATGATATTGGTCGGGAGCAAGCAGCAAACAAGCCTCTGTTGAAAACCGTTTTCCAGGTACAGTACAATATGTGCAATTTTTTCTTACAAATAGCAGGACAGAGGATGATTTACTGATTCAACTTTACTGCAACAGGTCATGATGCGATTATTTAGTCCCCGTAAAACAACCTTGCTGTTTGTTATACGTGATAAAACAAGGGTATGAACCTTCTTTCTTATTGAGTCATGAAATTTAGATCTAATAACATGATTGCCTTGTTTGCTGGGTTTGTTTTGAAATGTAGACACCTCTTGAAAATTTGGAGCCTGTTTTGAGGGAAGATATTCAGAAGGTACTGCACTCTACCTTTATTTTATTTGTTATTTTGTTTTATGTTTTGCAATTTACTTTATTTATTTACTTCTTTTGGGTTCAGATATGGGATTCTGTCCCAAAGCCAGAAGCTCACAAAGAAACTCCTATAAGTGAATTTTTTAATGTAAGTTTCATCATGATAGACTCTTATCAGTCTATCATAATGGTAAGTTTTCAGTTTTATTTGGAAATATGCATGTTTTTAATTGAATCTATTGCCAGGTTGAGGTGACAGCTCTTAATAGTTTTGAAGAGAAAGAGGAACAATTCAGGGAGCAGGTAATTAAATTTGTTATATGTTCTTGGCTTCTAATACTTCCCATTCATTATAATCATGCATTTTCATCCATGCAACTGAAATTGTTACATTTATCAATTTGGTTAACCATTTTGAGGGTTTTTTCCCCCCATGAAGGTGGCTAACCTAAGACAACGGTTCTTTCACTCTATTGAGCCTGGCGGGCTTGCTGGAGATAGGCGGGCAGTTGTTCCTGCTTCAGGTTTTTCATTTAGTGCACAGCAGATATGGAAAATTATAAAAGAAAACAAGGATCTTGATCTTCCTGCACACAAGGTTATTACCTACAAATCTAGCCTGAATTTTCTGGTTAAGTATTTTTCTAGTTTCTTGGTGATATATATGGATTGTGTGGTACAAATAAAGGTTATGGTGGCCACTGTACGATGTGAAGAAATTTCCAATGAAAAATATGCTGCTTTTTCTGCAAATGAGGTATATTTACTTAATTTTGGTATGATTTAGTTAAGTGCATTGTGCTCCCATTGTTTCCTCTAAAGTATAGAACATCATTATTGTTTAATATCATAGGAATGGTGTCGACTAGAGACAGAAGTTCAATCTCATCCTGTGCCAGGATTTGGGAAGATGCTCAGTTCAATACTGGCTACTTGTCTGTCTGAGTAAGCATATTTATTTTGTTGCAGATAGCATGCTGTGAATGCATATGCACCTTTATGGCTTTATCTATTGAATATTGATCTTGAATAGCCCTGAACAGATTTCATTTTAGCTCTCATAATCCATGCACTGTGTGATAAAATCCTTTAAAATTTCAATGATTCATCCTTTGCCAAAGGGAACAATTTTATGTCTGAACTTTATCTTGTTCTTGAAATCACACAATAAGCTGATGTTCGTAAAGGAAACTGATTCAATAATCTGATTGTTCTTCTGCTCAGTCTAACAGCAGAAGAAAATTGTCAGTTGTTTCCTTCTAAAACAAGATGAGATCAGGTTAAAGAAAAGTAAAATTGAAAGTGGCAATGTGACACCACAAGTGGAGCCATTCTTTGTCACTCCTTAAATTTGGCAATTTGGGTTTGCTGTTTAAGGGTCATTCGCTGTGTCTTCTTGTTCTTATGATGTCTATCACAATTATATTTCTTGCACAGTAAACAACTTAGAACTTAGGAGCTCATGTGGACATGGCCTAACAAGTCTTTGCATTGCCAGGTATGATGCTGAGGCCACATTCTTTGATGAAGGTGTAAGAGTGGCAAAAAGAAAAGTGTTGGAAGATAAATTGTTGCAGGTAATGTTGGCTCCGAACACTAAAAAATTTTCTATTTACACATGGATGCCATAGGCCAAAATGTTAGGTCCATTTACTATTCTTCAAATTTCAATAGCATCGGGCCACTTATCCCCCCCGCCCCCTAGAATTGTAATTTATAACTAGATTATGTTATTTTCAAATATCAAAACTTTAGAGCAGTCCATCTTCCCCTATCACAAACTCTCAGAACTTGCTCTAATAAATAAGTTCAATGATATTTACTATCTTCTTGATAGGATATATTTGTTCTGGATTGGTATATCTATCTTTTTCAAAAATAATTTTTGAGAAGGAGCTGCTGAGAACGTCATAGAGAACTACAGTTCCAAGAGTGATATATTGGTGTTCTCTTTTCTGTTACATGCTGGTTCCTCTTGATGTTATTCTTTTCTTATGTTGTAGCTTGTCCAACCGGCCTACCAATCCATGCTGGGACACGTGCGATCTGAGGCTATGGAAAGATTCAAAGAAGTGTTCAATAATGCATTGAATGGAGGGAAGGGCTTTGCCGTGGCTGCTTCTGAGTGCAGTGAGTCTTGTTTGGTGCAATTCAACGAAAGATGCAAAGGTACATGATTTAACATTCTCTCTTGCTCCTTGGCATAGTAACATCTACTGGGAAGAAATATAATTGCATAGTCTATTATTATCCTCCTCCCTCTATTGGAGAGGACAATGAAAAGTGGCGCATTACATTGTTCCTAATTATCAAACATGAAGAGGAATAGTTAATATTTTCATACTCTGGGCTGGGGGTATTGTTATATGGTAGTTACAATTTGAAGTTATGGGATTATTGCTAACTTATGGTATGTAGATTATGGACTTTGAAGTATTATGGTACTCAGTCTCTGAAGCAAGTAACCATAATTCTACAGATGCTGCCATTGAACAAGCTAACTGGGACTCATCTAAAGTAAAGGATAAGTTCAGGCGTGATCTAGATGCCCATATTGCTGCAGTCCGTGCTGCCAAGTTGGCTGAACTTACAACACTTTATGAGGTAAATTGACATGAGACCAAGTAGAAGAAAAATAAAAATCAAGAAAGGGGGCATAAAAGTTACCTTTGCATCTCATAATAATAGTGTGTTATTAATATCCAAGGATCATTTTTACACTGAGCATCTTTGGAATCTGCAACTAGACATGGAGGATCATTTTTATGCTCAATTCTGTTGCAATTGATGAGAATTTTTGTGCAGAAAAAACTGAATGATGCATTATCTGGACCTGTTGAGTCTCTATTGGATGGAGGTAGTGATGATACATGGCCAGCAATAAGAAAACTACTAAATCGTGAGACTGAAACAGCAGTCTCTGGTGCTTCTGCTGCACTTTCTGGTTTTAAGATGGATGAAGAGGCCCATAATAATATACTTTCAAAATTGAAGGATTATGCTATAGGCGTGGTTGAAGCAAAGGCAAAGGAAGAAGCTGGAAGGGTTTTGATCAGTATGAAGGAGAGGTAGGCTAAAATGTTCAGTAGTAAACCTTTGATTTAGGCTTTCACAAAATATGATCGAATTCTTCCTAAGGTACTTACCACAAACTTTTTGTCAGGTTTTCAAGATTATTTAGTCATGATTCTGATTCAATGCCTAGAGTCTGGACTGGAAATGAAGACATCAAAGGAATTACCAAAACTGCTCGTTTATCTGTATGGCAATGCTTATTTGAATATTGCTGAGCTAATTATCCATTTAAATTCTGCAAATTAACCCGTGTTACGTTCATTGATCTCTTCCTCAGTCTTTGAAGATACTCTCAGTTATGGCCGCAATCCGATTGGAGAATGAAGCTGATAATATTGCAAAAATTTTGACACTTGCTTTATTGGATGGTAAATCAGCGTCTACTGGTAATAAAAGTATCACAACATATGACCCTCTTGCCTCAAGCACTTGGGATGAGGTAATTACATAAATTGGATAATCTTTAATTTGAAGAAATAGAGAGAAAGAGTTGCTCGTGCTATTCTTTTAAGCTAGCATGCTTAATTAATTGCTATAGAACCTTCTGTTGATCGACTGCAAGCTTGCATTTTCAAGAGCTTCACTTCATATGATTTTCATTGCTTTTCCTCTATCCTTGTAACAGATTCCTTCACCGAAAACATTGATCACACCTGTCCAGTGCAAGAATTTGTGGAGGCAATTTACGACTGAGACCGAATATACTGTCACCCAAGCTATTTCTGCTCAGGCATGCCATTTCAAATGCTTTTGTGAATTGTTCTTGCTTTTGGCTGGTAGGCTTGTTAGTTGTTTACATTACTACTTTAATGGACTTCAAATAATGCAACTTAGCAGCCAAACCAAATAATGAGTTGAAGATAATCATATTTAAAGTTCAAATCTGTATGCATGGGGGGTTGTAAGGTCAAGCATTCTCCTGATACCTGTTTCTTGATTCGCAGGAAGCTAGCAAGAGAAACAACGATTGGCTACCACCTCCATGGGCAATTCTTGCCTTGGTTGTTCTGGGATTCAATGAATTTATGACACTTTTGAGGTACTTTGTTTGCCTTGTTCAACTTCCTACCTTTTTTATATATAAAAAAAAATTATATTTAGGTGACGAGAGAAATCCAAAGTCACTACCTGATGATGTGTTCAGAATATACCTCTAAGTTCCCCACTTCAAACCAAGACGGCATAAACCGCTCCCATTAAAAATCAAACTTAAAATCTTGTAGATAATATACTAATAGTTTAACCAACTTGACTAGAGTTTCGCTAACTTCCTACTTCTTTCTTGTTCTCTTTGTGGATCCATGACTCCCACTGGTTTTGCTCGTTTCAGAAATCCTTTCTATTTGGCTTTTATATTTGTGGCGTTCCTGCTTCTAAAAGCACTCTGGGTTCAACTAGACATTGCTGGTGAATTCCGCAATGGAGCAGTAAGTTTTCTATCTATTCCCTAGCTAGGTCTCATTTTACACGAATGATATGGTTTTTAAATATATAAATAAATAAATTTGACGTCCTAACACAAAATAAAAATTGATGGGTACAGCTTCCTGGAATTATTTCTTTATCAACAAAGATTGTTCCAACCGTGATGGACATCCTAAGACGCCTAGCAGATGAAGGAGCAGCGCGCCCAGCAGCTAATGCTCAGAACCCGAATTCTACTGGCCGCAATTCTTCCAAGAGGAACTCGAGGAGCGATTACTCCGGCGCCGAATCGTCGTCCAGTGCTTCATCTGAGGTTGGTTCTTCAGAAAGCAACTCTGCCTTCACTAGCCCAAGGGAAAGCAAGAGGCACTAAAAGTTGTATCGTTTTGTGTCATCTGATCTGCATTTGACACACCGCACCGCATCCCACGGTTTTGGTCATTGGGTTTCAGTGTTTCACCCTAATCCCAAGGAGATTTATTCTTTTATTTATTTATTTATTATTATTATTATTATTATTATTATTATTATTTACATTTGGGCAGGGTTGTTTGTAAGCCGCTAGATAGAACTATCCTGCCATGTTTTTTTTTTTTTTTTTTGGAAGTTGTTTATCCAGTAGGGTGTTGCCTATGATATTGTCCAGCGAGAGGCAAAATAACATTGTGTTTTGTTTTGTAAAATGTTTAATTTCTGTTCCCATAAACCTCATATCTGCCACGCATCCTAGTTTTTCTTTAAACTGTCTCATATCGTGTTTTTCTTGGATTGTCCCATATTTTTTTTTTGTTAACTGTCACCTTAGCTTTCAAATTGATAACTAATACGAGTAATTAAAAATAAAAATGCCATTACAACTAGTAATAAACCAAATTGATATTAATTCTTGTGAATCGATCACCAAGACTAAAAATTAAAATTGTATTTATACAATTTGTAGGCCAAATTGATATTAATTTTGAGAGATGTTTGTTTCATAGCTTTAAGCCTTTAATATATACTGCCATATTTGATTATGATTATTAAATTATTAAGTATTTAACTTCAATTAAAATTTCAATTCTGATGTTTGTACCCCGGCCAGCGACGGCGGGCTAGGGTTGATTAGTAAATGAGCGGTAAATTTTGTTAGTTGGTCCAGCTCGATCAATTACGCAGGGCAGTACCATTATGAAGCAAGTTTAATGGCTCCTTTTTTGTTTGGTACGAAGAATAATAATTCTTTTCTATAATTGATAAAGACATTATTTATCACTATATTATGTCATTATGGCTATATCAATATAATTCACAACAACCTTTCAACTGCTTAATGGTAGCTAGGCTAGGGTTTTGGTTTACCCGCGCATCCACCACCGCACGCCAAAGATATATTGCTACAAAGATTTTATGCGACAAATTCGATTAGAAAGATGTGCATGCAATAGACTCGATTAAGAAAGTTTTAACAAAAATTAAACTCATAATCTTTTTGTATAAAAATTATTTTTAATCCACTCAACTACCATTTTTTAAAAAATATTTTATATTAGTTAATGGATGTGACCGTACCACTACTTCCCACATATTTGTTGGCAATGGTGGCTGGCAACTATCATTGAAAGGAAACTAACAAGCATGTGATATTAAATGGATTATAAATATAGGCTAGATTAAAATACGTGAGTAATAAATAAAATTAAAATCCTTACCAATTTAAGCATGCAATCAAGAATTTGAATTCATGTGGATACAACAATATCCTATCCTTAAAAAAAATTATCCTTGACTGAAATTCGGTTGGATTAGTCCCACACATATTACGAGAAATTCCGCAAGCCACACATTCGGTTGGATTATGTCTGACGCACTCAATCGAAAAAGTATTGGTAAGAAATAAACTCGTGACATTTTGGTAGTTGATACGAGAGTCAGATTCTATTCATTTGAGTAAGATAGTCTTATAAAGCTTGTTAATTTAAGTGTTGCAGACTTGTAGTACTATAATTTATGGCATAGTAGGTGCAGCCCGGCCCTGATAACTGCAGTAAATATTTACGGGCTATACGCCCTATGACAAGTCATATTCTAATAAATATTCAAAACCAAACAAAAACGAGTTAATTAAACAGTGAAAATTCTTTTCAAAAATCAAACAGTGAAAATTATAATGGATATTGTGCATAAGATAATTTAGAATTTAATAAATAATAATAATAATAATAATAATAATAATAATAATATATTATTCGGCCTTGATGAGTTATACCTTTCTATGCGTACTATAACCTTGTAATATTAATTTATAGTGTGTTAATTTAGATCAATTTTTTTGAATGCTAATTTAGATTAATTTAAAGTTTTAGATATTATCAAAATTATTTGAAGTGAAACTCTTTAACCCGATGGAATCACGTAAAAGGAGTAACATGGAATGGATCAATCTGTTGATAAGAAAATATAAATTGGGAACAATATAATTTTAGTTGGGTAGGTAATGGGATGGGCGAATGTTGAAATTAGATGGAAAAAAAATGGAAAGGCGGAAGTAGGGACAAATGGACAATGCTATGAATTCCATTGTTCATTTCTAAGACCAAATTAATGCACCACGAGTTTGATTCTTGCCAACGTTCTCTCGATCGAGTTCGTTGTATATGATTTTCTTAGTGTGATTTACGAGTTATTACATATGAGTAGAATTCACTCAGTGCATACGCTTAAGTAGTAGTTAAGGGTTTCCGTTAAGAGTTTGAATCCCCTCTAGTATAGAAACACCAATCTGGCCAGGATTAGTTTGAGTATAGTACGAATTTAAATGTGTCTCTTACAGTTAAGGTCTACTAAGGATATCTTATGGTCTGACAAAAAAAAAAAAAAAAAATCTTAAGAAGAGTCGAATTAGAAATATTGCATTTGACTAAACTAAGTGTCTGATCAACTTAATTGTAGGTTGGCCCATAATATGTAACGTAATTAGCTTTCCCATCATCAATCTTTATCAGCATATATATGAATCAACTAATAAACAAAACAAGAAAACACAACATTAATACGATGCGTGAGAATAACAAATAGTTTGTCACTCAAGATTCAAGAAACTCTAATTTTAGTCAATGGTCCACCACCACATTAATGCAAAAATAAAAGCTATAGAAATATATACTACTTATACACACATGTACATTATTTACGGTTACACGTATTATCATTTTTATTATATGATCTAATACTTATCCATCACCACCGATCTTTATCAACATAAAACAACATAGAAATAAAAACTAATTAAAAAAACATGCACAACATTAATATATACGATATATCAAGAATAACAAATAATTGGAATAACTCGAAAAACCCTAATTTTAGTCAATGGTCCAGCACCACTTTAATGCAAAGAGGAAAGTTATGATGACAAGTATATATATATAGGGTTCTTGAATGTGTGGATTTGGTTATATACAGGCTGGTGATCTGATCCCATCTAGTAATGGCAGTTCAATTCTGGGCCATTCGATCGTCTCATCTCACTGTGAAGAAGGGTATTCAAACATGAAATGATCTCCTTTATTTCAAACTTGATATGCAATATAATGGTACTTAATTGTGTCAAGTCACTTGCATTCAATGTTATAGGTGGTGATTAAATGAGAAGCCAGTTTGGCTGGGTTAAAAGTTAAAATTGGTTGAAAAACAAGTTGAAATTTTAACCCCATCACCTACCCAATAGCCCGCAGCTAGAACATGTTATAATTATTTGGTCGGGGATACCCAAACAGTCATATGAAATAACCCTAGCTCTGAAGAAACGGTGGTGGGTTTAATTTGTAGAAACTACCTCCGATAATGTATGATAGACAAAGTAGCAAAAACCATAAATAACTCCCCCAAACATACCATCACCAGAGTCCATTAATGAGTAAGTGCGTGATTTTAGTATGATATCAAAAAATAATATTTTCATTGCAGTGATAAAAATTACATACATAAATAATAACCGTGTATATATGTACCAAATAAACCCTTTAATATAATGATTTAAATAAACATTAAATTGGAGCAGAGTAACATTAATTTGTAGCTTGTTTTACAGGTTCATCATCGATTATGGCCCTGTTTGGTAAAATGGCTGTTAGCTGATAGCTGTTAGTTGTTAGCTGATTGTGTTAATTAGAGGGTATAAATAGTTGATAACATTAGCTGATTGTAGAAAAGTGTTTGTAAATTAACCCACAGCTGTTTGGTATAATTCCTTTTCCTAAAAAGCTAATTGAAAAATTGCTTAGAGTAGCTTTTTAAATTTTAGCCTTTTGGAGTTGCAAAAAGCTAATTAACCAAACATTTATATTGATATTTTAACTAAATCAAACAATTAATAGTGGTCAAATAAGCTAAAATTAGCCTATAGGCCAATTTTTTACCAAACAGGGCCTATATGAAAGTTCATGCACCTACTCTAACTAACAGCGCACGCAGCTAGCTGTATATATAAATATATATGTTATTTTGGTTGAAACCTAGCTAGCTAACAATAGATTGGGCATGTGAATTTTAGATAACATTTATATCAACTTCAATTCATTTAACGACAACAATTTACTAACCGAATGCCGCCTCACACACACACACACATGTATGTTCTCCTTTAAAATTTAAAAAAAAAAAAAACATTTATAATATGATAAGAGGTAAACTCACTACCATTATATTACGCGAGAGTGTGTATTAGGTAAATCTCAGTCATCATATGTAATAGTTTGTAAATTACACATGAAATTAAAGATCAACTGCATTAAGAAGACTATGTAAGTATGACATGCTTAACTGAAAGGGTATTAGCAATAATTAAACTTATGACGTTGTGATATTAATTATTTTTTTCTCTCCAACTTTGTATATACGTCATATATATATATATATATATATATATATATATATATATATATATATGTATGTATGTATATATTTAAAAAAAAAAAAAGAAACAAGAAGCAAAAATAAATAAAATTTTCTTTCCTAAATTATTGAGAAATATATGATTTTTTTGGTCTATCAATTATATATATACCATCATCATTTGTTGTCCTTCAATTGTTCACAAACTACATATAAGAGTTAGGTAACTCACGCTAACAAGGCTCTGTGCGACGGATTTAACTGTTGAGGTGACTATGTTGCGAATTTGTAAAGAATTGCACGGCATTTACTACATATTTACACAGTATCCGGATATAATTACACTGCAAGATTCTTCAAGCATGTCTGGGACTGTAGCAGTGCAATCATGTAGTGGTTACAGTGCAATCCTTCACAAATTCACAAGTTAATTAAGATTGATTCTCCCCTGATTAGAAATCTTTCAAACACACCATATAAGTAATTTATTTGAAAATGTTATTGTAATAATTTTGATCATATTCATGAATTATTTGTGAATTATCAAAATACAATTAAGTTGTTATCTGAGACATGCAATGCATAAGAATTAAGAACTATGTAGAAGCTCCACCGCTACATATATAGGCTGGCGTAGTGAGCTGTCCAGTTTCACGTAGCTGAGCGTAATAAGTTGACAGACCAAACGTACAGTTCATGAGAATTGAGAATGTATTCCGATCCAAAGGTATAATAACATACATGCATTAAAGTTTAATTTTTTGTTAATAAAATAATGGAATCCAACGGCCACCAATCTTTCATACGATGGATGGATGGATGGATGGAGCCCCCC